TCGCTGTGCTTCTTCTAGTTCGATTCTGCGTTTCCTGGAAATCTAATTGCAGTGGGAATAAACTAAATGCCACAATAGATGGGCGTTCCTTCTCTGAAGTTCCTTAATGAAGGGGGGTTACTGAACCGATGACATGTGCACCGAAACTCTAAGTGAAAAAGTTCCAACTAAAACTGTCGGCAACTGGGAATTTCTTCACAACAAAGTTAAATGATTTAGAATAGTCTTACTGACCTACTGACTGACCGTACTGTTTTCTTAGAACTGCTTTGTGAAGCTTAGGCCATAAATGCCTTGTAAAAACCATTCATGCGTGCAGTACGTTGGCGCAATTCAATATCATATTAGTGATTATGACTATGGATTGCCGCATAAGTTACATTCCCCTTATAGTTACTAATTGACTCAGGCTTTTAGAGTCGAGCAGAAGTACTTCTTTCCTGTATCATGAAACCAATCTCCTATCAAGCCTAATTTATGCCTTCCTGGTTTCAGCTCCATAAAAAACGCTATTTCGCTACCATAAAAGATTCTAATCCACAACCACAGAAAATTCAACAAAACGGGATTGATCAGCGAGCGCCACAGAAACCAGTCCCTACTGAAGTGTTTTGGAATAAAACAGGGTTTGATCAGCCGATAGTATTGATCTTCGGGGCCTTAAAATGCAGATGACTTGGACAAAACCAACCAGAAGAAACGAATAAAACCCGCTACTCAATAGTCACTCGATGTCTGGTGAACTTGCTTCACGGATCTGGAAGACCGTTATACTTAGCAATATGGATATTGTGGTCCACGATCACACATCTTGCAATTGTTGTTAGACCTCTTGTTCTGTCATGTTCCAGACAAAAATCATGTAGCTTTTGTCGGGTTTTGATATTGAACACACGTGGTACTTTATCTGATTCGCGGGAGAGAGCGCACGGCAGTCCACAGGCAGTACACTACTAAATCTGAGTTATGATTGGAAAATTCACAGCAAAGTGTAGTAAAAAGGTCAAAGTGCCAATGTCGCGCACGAATGGTCGGCTGACAGTAATGTGTCTACTTTGAATCTACAGGAGAGTACTAAGTTATCTGAGAGACAAGCGATACTCATTTCATTTCCGGTGGTCGGGTTTGGAATTCATTGTACGGCTTAAGTATGTTTCTCAGATCCTTGCCCATGCAGATGGCTCCAGATCCCGCTGACAATTAATCTTCATATAAGTCACTGAGGTATGAAAGTTATTATAGAGATAACCAGACGAGAAAAAACTGAGCAACATATATGCTCTACTAGTTAGGTGAGTCTTTACTCGGCAGGTAAACTCCACTGTTGTAATCCATACTCAAATATGCAGTCTATAGCACACTGCTTCTTCGTACATGGTTGCAGGACAACCGCTTCCAAGGCACGTCCACAGCCATAAGCGAGACATCTTTCAGGCAGTATTTTATTACATCTGATACCGGCGTAGTTTCATCTGTCCTCTTTTTCAAAAAACAACCACCCTATTGGGAGCGAAACGCTGTTTTCTTCATGAATCAGAATGGCGATTGGGAAAAAAAGAGATCTGTACAGGAACGCCATTTTCAACCGAATTCGTATCATGTAGGTGGCGAATGAAAATGTGTTTAGATCCACATTCACTTGTTGCACTGTTTAATTTCATGAAGTCGTTCATTATCATAAAAGAAACTACTCACAAGGTTGCTGAAAACTCTTCGACATCACATGACCGGTTCCGCCCTTCTTGAGGCTAATCAGCTAGGTGCAGTCCCCGAGTTTCCGTCAACCTTATGATCTACTTGAACCTAAATTGGACTATTTTCGAGAAGTGCACTCATTTGCAAATCGATTTCGTTTCCACGGGAGACTCAACTGAATCCCTCGTTTATGATATTCTACAAGTGAATGTAGTGCACAAACGCCGCCTCATGCTTCACTTGGTAAGATATTCCAGATATCGGGGTATATTTTCATAAAGGAAACTACCCACAGGGTTGCTGAAAACTCTTCGACACCCCGCGACTTGTTTCGCCCCACTTGGAGCTCATCAGGTAGGCGGCTTCTGTGTAGCACATTCAGTTGAAGAACATTCACTTGAATCTCCCGTGAAAACCAAATTGATTTGCAAGTGAGTTTGTTTGTTGAAAATATCCATAATTTTATTGCGTGCTGGTTGAAAACAGGCATTAAACATCCCACTTTTTTCACCAATGCGCTTTTCACCGTGAAGAAATATTTCCAAAATGATCTTCAAAGAGCCATTATACAGATAAGTCTTGAAGAGGTGGTAGTGCAACTGTCATCAACTGTCCCCAATAGAACAATGATCTCACTCTAGCTAATTTGCGTCATCAGTATTCTTTATTAGGTACAAACATATCCACTGGTTGAAACTTCAAAGAAGTAGCCACTTGAGATCATTGTCAGGGTATCGTGCAAATTCAAGCATGAAGGTGCTCTAGCTTTTAACTATTCCTTCACTTCGATTTGAAACAAAATCCACAAATGACCAAACATGGACCTAACATGTCGGTTAAGACGAAAGAAACATTCAACTTCATGGCACAGTATCAGATCTGTGAGCTGAAGGTTAAGAGACCTTTATCGCGGGATGGTAATTGGTCTAACGGGACACATCTTTGTGTCCTTTTCTGGAGGCGTCCATTAGGTTTTCGAAACTTCGATATTTGCACAAAAATACGCACTGTTAAAGGGTGGTCTTATTTCCAATTGTTTTACGTCACATAACACTACCAAAACCGAACAACGGTTACCTCAGGCCGATAGATCGTCCTAAACTTTGGTAACCAACAGTCCGCATCCAGCTAAATCCGGGAATCATACGGCACATCTTGTAAAAGCAGGAGCTACTACAAATTACTGAGTGTGAAACGACTCATATCTCGGTCAATATAGAGGGACAGGGTGATACCTTTGGTTTGTTTGGCGTCCAAGAAGGGTGCGCACTCTCTTCATTCCCAATCACTTTTGTGACCGACAAGGTAGGGAGACGAAAGAGGAAGGTCTTTCAAGCACTGGTGTTCAAATGACTGCTGATGGAAATCCTGTCGACCTGGAATATGCATACTTGAGTAAACCAACGTCCTTGTGTCTGAGCTATACACCCATAGAACGTAGGGTCATACTCCTAGACGTGCAGTCACTTACAGTCTAAGGAGGATCACTCGGGTTTGTGAAGCGTACTGCGCATCTTGAAAGCTGTATAACTTCCGACTGTAGAGCAATAGATGAAGTCAATGCAAGAAAACCAAGGGTCGGTCACATTTGCTTATTTGAGACACCTACTGTGGCAAAGTAGTATAGATCTACAAGCATAGATCTATCAAGAGATGTGTATCAGCCCAAATTATGGGCTGATGATGGGGATGATAGTAATGGTGATGAATGGCGTTTTCGACCAAGACCAACTTGGCAGAAGGGGACACAGGACAGACTCCTATGTGTTGTTTAAGCACGAAAAAGAAACACGTATATTACCGAGAGAACCGGCACCGTAATGTAACTGGCACTATGTATAAACTCAGAAATCCCAGAAAAAATGGAGGGCAATCAGAGAGTGCGTGTGTGTGTGTGTGTATACGAGTTAAGGACAGACAGGGATACTTACATCTAGCCTGCAATCTGTTCAATGAAAAGTGCAATCTACTATCTGAGTAGTGTTGGACTATCCAGGATGTGAGTGTTGGCTAGTCAGATCCACACAAAGGTTTATTTTCCAGCGACTGGTAGATGAGTGATAACGTGAAAGCGCAGTGAAACTCACTACTGTTTAGCTGATGACAGCTAAAAACTGATAGAACTGCATTTTACAGCAGACGGGTTTGATAAGTAGTTAAGTCATAAAGAATGAGATACCTTAAGAAAGCACATTCAAGGCGACCTTGGAGCTCAAATAATGGACAAGGATTCAAGCGCGCAACATCCGACGGTTTCCACCAGCACTTAGCCGGTCTACTAAACATTGCACAGGTCTTATCCCAGTAAGCGAATCGCACAAGCCATCATGCCACCAACTCGCTTCTATGCTCTATGTGACACGACCAGCCACTGATCGACAGGCTCATTAATTTATGAACACGTATTGGTCGGGCCCGCTAGGTTAAGAGTGGTTTATTGCAGAGTTCCCAGTGACTTTAAAAGTGGTTCTGATCCTCTCGTTCAGATGATGGCTTCTACCAGCAACAGTGTTGGTGTAACAAAACATGTAGTGCTGTACGATCCCCGTTGATCGCGTAATCATAGAATAGGTTATAGATACGTGTGACGCTTGAACACGCACTATAGTACAAGCTATATTGAATTTGGCTCCAACTTGAAAGCGCAGATAACGGAGATCATTTTGCTCCAGATTTGTCATGTAAAAGAAACTATAGAAATGACTGACAGTGACCCAAGTGTTACTCAGCATCTGAACAATACTCTGACTTAAGTTTTGCTCCTGATACAGGTTCCCAGTGGTGTTTGTTCGTCGCCTTAACAGGATATGAATCCCAATTATCCTAAATGAGGGCTGGCTGTGTTACGAGAACTTCAGAGTTCAATCTGAACCCAGCAGAACAGTCAGATGTGATGAAGGTGTCTGACTCACACAAAGCCTATTACGTAGACCCAGCAAGTGTCCTGCTTTTGTTGAAAGAATTGCATTTACCATGCAGACAGCGACACTGGCTTTTTATAGCGACCGGAAATTTTGAAAGGAGAAACTTCCACTACAAATATCTTTCGTAGTGCAAAGAAACACTGATATCATTGAAAGAGGGTCACTGGTTTTGTATCTTTTTTGAACTAGCTTGTACGATGCAATCCTGTGCCCGCCCAATGAAATCACGTGGGTATGGAGGACAGTGAAGACAAACAAGCAGATCTAAAACTTTGGCAATAAAGATTGGTATTAAGTTTAATGATAATAATAAAACAGTGTCAATGAAAGTGAACGAATAGATGAAGTAGGTAAACAGGAAGCTTTCCAGATCATGTTAGGTCACATATACGGTCTCCACAGAGGAGAATGCGTCTGGGTTATACAAGGGTGGTGGTGCCCATTTTCGTCGGTGCGATAACCAGTGCCCGGTACTGTGGCCCAGCAGGAAGGATAGGTAAGAGTGGGTACGTTTGAGGATGGAATGGGTTGTTCCATTGTGAAGTGAAATCGGGCGAACTGTTCGTAGGCAACGTTCGGATTTGGCAAGGGATGTATGATCGGCCCGTTAAACTGATCTGGAACACGGTTTACCCTCTCACTGTTATCTAGTTTGCCGAGAGGCCTCCTTGTTGTGCAGGCTGTTCCTGCTGGTCGATTGAATGCAGACTCATGAAAGGACTTCCCTGGAAGTAAATTGAACGTGGAATGCGAAGTCTGATGAGGGTCCTGGTAGTGCAAAGAAGGTAAGTTGTACGTGTGGTAATGATGCTGTCCAATGGGTAGATCCTGAGGTTTGATAGAAGCGCAACTTGGTTTCTGAAAGTCTGAGCAATTCACTTCGGCTTGCTGATTGAATTCCATTTGAGATGTAGGCCCAACTGGATTGTATCCTTGCGTAGATTCGGTGGTACGTCTGGTTTTGTTCAGTTCCCGCTTCAGATACGAAACAACCAACTCCAGAATATCGGCTTTCTCAAGCTTACGATGATGTTTAGGCTGTATTCAATTGAGAACGCAACAGATGGGCGGAATTAAATCAACCTGCAGTCAGAATTGATTTGGCTAAAACAGCTTACTACTCTTACTCTGTATGCTCAAACAAAGCTAAAGTAGGATGCCACAAGAGAGGCTACCTCTTTCGAGAGTCAAGAACTGAATTCCTCCTAGTTTAGGAACTATTGCGTTTGCAATCTTGTACTTATTATAGGATAAACCATAGGACAGAACAAAAACGCAATTCTTTGGCGGTCTCTCTGAAGAAGAGTCCTGCTGTGCCTATCTGACGAGCACCATGCGAATTAGTTGACCTGTCCTGTCTAATAACTGATCCTCGATGTTGTCCTACAGCATCAGCAAATAAAGTGTGGTTGACTTCACGACAGTATTAGAGGTGCTAGTTTTTCACAGCTCTTTTCGATGTAGTAGGCTGTTCGAAAGATATAAACTGGCTTTTTGAACCTCGCGCTTATCTGTACCGTCTCAGGAGAGGTCAACTTTACGGATGGATCGATTTTGGCTAATTCCATGAAGGAGACCACCACACAACTAGGGACATGAATAATTTTTGGCGCATCTTTCGGTCACAGCATCTTTCGTCCAACTGTCCAATGTGCAACTGGGTAGTACTGTGTATGCACTGGACGTCCCACACAGGTGAACACATAGTTGTTAAGTTCTACCTTGGGAATAAGTCCTAAACGAAATCCAGTCAGTAGCGGGCACAGAAAAAAATGAAATTTTGTCAAAGAACACGAAGAAAACAGCTTTGATTAACTGTTGAATAAACCATCTGACCAACGCTGAATGGTCCGACTACTTACCGGACCAGTCACCCACCCTCGCTGTAGCTCCGTTTGGTTACGAAGGGCTCAACGGGATAAGGCCTTACGTCTGAGACTAATCCCGTCGACCTACGGAGGCCAAGGCCAGTAAGGAAGGCTTTGTGTGGTATCCGACCCTGTCTTCACTTTTTACAGCACTAGGTAGGTAATTACGGATGTTTGTCTCACTGAACCAATTTATTCAGTCCAGGAGAAGTCAGTGGCCCAACAACCGCTGGAGTGTTTGAAGCAACCTGCAAATTTTTACACGAAAAGTAAGCTTGGCGATTGTAGGTCCTTTTGGAAATAAGATCAACGTCTGCAAAATCGGTTCTTTCTACAAAAACAACTTTCGCTTCCCCAAGGTTCCCCCTCAGAAGGGAGCACTTCCCACAAGCTATCGCTTATACTGAGCCTTCTTAAGCCGTTTCCTCTGGTGTCGAAAACTGCGATGTGAGTGTGAGACTGTCTGTTGTCGGGCTGCAGGGCAAAAACAGGTGAGAAACATGGATGCTTCAGAGAAGCGGACGGTTTTGTATGATCCTGGGAGAATTCGCTGTCGGGAAGGACTACCGTTAGTCTCGCTCTGCTCAATCTGAAGAGTTCCACTTAGAAAGAACGAGAACCACCGAATCGACGACAGAGCTCGCCAGTTGTACGTTTGAACTGGTACAGGTGTGCGGTTTAGCGAAGTGTACTTTACGTGACAAAACAGGGAAATAGTCCCAAAGCGGTCAATAAATATGGCTTCAAGAATGAGTCTCAAGAGCAAAGCGACATTCGAACGGTTCGTATCGATTCTGCGTGCATGCATGGTCTAACCTTCAAGCGGCTCGCCATTCGTAGTTTTCTTACTTCGTGAGACTAATGAAACTCACCAACTTACTGATTAGGCTACTGGAATTCGTTAAATAGGAGGGCTTCTCCAGGTTCATTAAATATTTTACATTTTGTAAACATTGTGTTGCATATTTATTATAGGTGCAATTGGTGCGCTCGCAGCTTGATTTCTGCATGGAATTTAACAAACTTCAACCAAACCTATCGTTTGTGACCAACTAAAGTGACTCAGGATCCAGCTGACCGACATAAAAAGAAAATACCCAGAAAATGCCGCTCATAAGTTTGACGAAAACTCTCCGACAGTTCTCGACTGTTTGTCGTTCAATCAAGAGACTATAGTTCAGTCATACATATACCACGTGTTAAAATATATTTGAGTGGTATGTAACATGTCCAAAAGGGCAGAGCAGGGAAGCCAGTCAACAAACGACCTCGTGATGAAGATGCTAGGACTGAAGGAGCAGTTGCGTAATATTCTTAGCGTGAGTTAACCACTTTGTTGCTTAGCCGCTAGCTGCCGGACGTCAAGTGTCCATCCAGAGTACTAGCTGGAAGGTGCGGGTTTAAAATTCGCGGGAGTTTCACGATATACACACAGCCGATGATTCACAAAGAGGATAAAACAACTTCACAGTGCTACTCGGCTTTTCAGCATAGATTGTTTGAAAACGCATTTAAATAACGTTCAAAAAATAGTTAGTAGTGTTAGTTAATGTTCAAGGCAATGAATAGGACTTTGATGAGATTTTTACCGATGGATGAGCCCCAATTGTAACCTGTGCTACTGAGACATACAAGTGTTCAGCGCGTGAAAAGCTGGAATCTCAAGGGTGAAAACGCTGGTGGCAAAATTTAAAGAAAACAGTGTCGCTTTTGGATAACGTCAGTTAATCAGGAAAATCCTGTTTTGCCGAACCAATAAAAGTGGCTGAGGGACCTAGGGTATGTCTGGAAAGTCCGTGGGTTCCGTTTGCACATTTACGCTGATCCACACTATTAGTTAACTGAAGGTGAAATCTGAAATTTATATCTGCCGCCTGCCTCTAATTAATGCAGTACGGCCTATTATAACAACTAACGAATCCGTCAATCAGATTTCCTTAATAAATGACTTAACACCGTTAGAATACTGGTATAATTTAACAGATAACTTACATTTTTATGTAGCAGCCTCAATATTAATGTCCGTACAGTGCTTAACAGGGCATTAATACGGTCTCGACGTTTTCGCTCAGTCATCTGCTTGGCCGTTTTACGATCACTTTTACCTTCCCGTTTCTCAGGAGCCCCGGTAGTTCCTCGTTCGGTTTTACAGCGTCTGGGCGTTGCCTGTCCGTCACTTGCAGTTGCTGATGAGAACATCCCCGTCTGCCGTTCCTCCGCGCCAACCAAATTTGATACCTCTTGTCTGCTGTCATCATCGTCACCATCAGAATCCAGTAATGAAAACGACTCCCTGTCAGAGAGTGAATCTAAATAGCTCTGGGTTTCTGCGGCTTCACTCATTGCTACGTGTGGTGAAGATCATCCACTAGGGAATTTTATACGCTCATGACGCACGCGTTTCCCCTGATTGTCCATGTACGTCGCAGGTGTACAGACGCGTACGTGCGTCACTCCTGATTGGTTGTTGTCCTCGCCTTAGCCGCGTGACTGCAAACTGCGTGGGCTGACTGCGCATTCCCTGTCAAATGGCGTGAGACAATGGCACTTCCCCAAAGCGGGTGGTGGAGAGAGTCTGTATTCGCATCCAATAGCGGAGCACACTGATGACGTGCCTACCCTGACTTACCTTTAGAAATCACCCATTGACGTTTGTTGTTTTGGCCGAATCAGGAGAAAGCGCTTACGACCAAAAGTGCCAGGTCTGTTTCTGGCCTGCCTTACAGGCAGTGGGATGAGCTCTAGACTGGGGTTTCAAAGCCGACGATATTAGTATCTGAGATGCTAATAAGAAGGAGTTTATTCAGGCCCTCTGATTAAGGTTTTCTAATACCGACAATCGTGTTGAACACCCTCGTTTATTGACTACCGGCTAAACTATAGGCCTCTAAATATTTCCAGCCGAGGCTTGGTCCATGACTTGATGTACCGGTTGAAATGTGAAGCAAACTCTATGGTGAAATCCCTCCACAGTGGCTATCGCTCCACAGTGCTCGTTTTTCGCCGTCCTTCAAAAGTACTCACCATGAGCTCTCATCTTTTTGATAGTAACATTTCACGCAAATCGGTCTCCACTCGACCACACATAGTGATCTATGGAAGATAGGCGACAGTTTACACCGAAGCGCTCAGTTTTATCTATAACCGATTGATCCGAACCCTCTCTCCAGATTGGCCCTTTTCGACTGGTCCTTCAATGGTCACTCCATCAAAATAATAGGTTTAGTATTCAAAATTTGAGTATCGGAGGGCACACACGCACATCGCTCACCCCCCTCGATGCTCGAAAAATGCGCATCATTTTCAAATTGGAGTTTGCAAAATCTTGATAGGCCTTTGCCAGTATGAAAGCAGAGAAAAGAAAACACTCGCTCTCTTCATGAAAAAAATGAAAACTGACGGTAGGACAATTCAGCAGATATGGGAACATCGCGGAAGATATCTGTAAGTAGTTATAACGATGTACTACCTAAAGCTGGACTTCACAAATAAAAGTTATTTTGCGTGCGTCTTCACAACCGCCAATCGTAACTGACTTAGTTAATCGGGTTTAGGTCTGTATTCCGGCAAGTTCTCACGTACTTCTTTGAAAACGGCTTTTCTTATTTTAGTTCCACTCAAACTTCGAACAAACGCCAGACCTTTCATAGCCATCCTGAATTCCAAAATAACCTTGACGATGAACAAATGCAGTTGGGCAAGTAACATCCATAATCCGTCCGTCAAGCGAGAGAACGACTGCCGTTACAAGGCTTGAAACATACCCAATATTTGTGACACTGTTTTCGCTAGTACCTGTTGTTTTCCGCACAGTGATACTTGTAGAAAAGTTCATATTTTTGGGGGGAAATCAGCTGGATCAGCTCCTGCAGTGCATTGCTCAATGAAACTGCTTACAGTAACAGAATATCTGCGTTCGACCACTGCCAAACTATTTTACAAAGTAGCCGAGTATTTTTCGGTTTTCGTTTTGCTTATTTGCTTTCAAGCTTAAGAAAGACATCCCCGATATCTCCGGCACCGGAGCCAGAGTTCTTCGTCAATGAGGTGCGGCAAAGTAAATGTTCCACTTGACTCTGTGGCCATAACTAATAAAAGTAACCTTGGAAGAAGATAAAATAAACACGATTTGATACAAAAAAAACTAACTGAGGTATCCGCTGCAAGTGTCCAACATAGTATCCAGAAACCCAAACCTCGTTTTTGTTTATTTGGTCTTTTAGCCCATGCGTACTTCTACCGTTTAAACATGTATACATAAACAAGCATATTAATACTGGTTGGAATAAAATGGGAAGTTCTGCCAACATCAGCATGATCCATTTCGCTCAAAGTCAACACTTCATCCTTCTTTGGGTAAGTTCGTTTAAAGTCGTTTGAAAATTACCGACGTTTTGACTGTACCACAAAAAACATTAGTACAGTTAAAATTGCCCATGTAAGCGGTGGAGGTAGAATTTTTCTGTTCTTCATTTGGCTTGGTAAACTTTTAAGTGACTCCAAAGCATAGAACATGGATAATGTGTTAAATTTGAACATCGTGTACTGCATTCCAGTGCGATATTTTCTTTGTGCCAAATACGGTTGCTGAGGTGACACACTCTGCAAATAACACGAGATCCAAAAGCCGGAAATCCATTGGAGGCGAGTGAAATGCTCTCCGCACATGGCATATCGGGTGCATTTGGTAGTTGCTGCCGAAATTTGGCTCAGAAATGTTTTGTTTCCGGATGAACATCGTGTCACTTCCCTGTCGGTTTGATTGCCACCGTGAAGTTGTTTGCGCCGGGGCAGCTGGAGAGATGCGCTACCCGCATACTCTTCCTTGTGTGCTAAACTGTTTGGACGCGTTGCTAAGCTTTCGCATTCTATCTTCCACAACCGCGGCAAAACGGCAACGCTACTTGGATTCTGATTAGTTGCCTGAACTTAGGTATCACCATTCAAAACTGGAGCAAACGTCACGCTCCCCGAGTTATCTAGCAATTTATGCGGGGTCTGAAATACCAGTTGTGTTTTTCCTCTCCATAGGAAATAATATTCATAAAAGATAAAAACTAGTGAGTTGTGTACGTCCAAATCAAGGCGTTTTACTTCAGTACACAGGATTTTATGATCATGGGAGAACTGCTATGGGGAAAATTGTATCCACAAGACAAACAGCTACCAAGAACCAGTACCGTCGGTCAATCTCCCACTGTAGTTTTAAACTACTGGATCTGTGCAGTGGAACCGCAAACCGTTCTTCCTAAAACGGAATACGTTTGGCAGATATACAGCTCTTTTTCATTTTAACATGACACATGAATCCCAGTTCAAACGACCTTCAAACCCCTATCCGCCCAAATGGGTCTACTTAACCGTGGGCGCGACAGTGATAAGTACCATTCATTTGACGGATTGTGTCCCACCAGAATCGTACCATAAAGTGGATAAAAGGAGCTTGTTTGTGTATTTGTTTAGCTTTATAAGGAGAAGTTGTGTAAAAGTGCAGCAGCTCTCTGAAAGAGGACAGCCGTTCCAAGTACTCAGCTTGGCGGCATTCATAGGTAGCGGAAGCTGTCTTGTTCCAGTCAATATTTCTCCCATACAATCGGCTGAATCAGTTTTCCCTCATGACACACCATTTCTCTCTAGATTTGATTCTCTGGAAACTTCTAATCCATCCTTCTCACGTACAAGACATTATACACAAGATTCGAATGTCAGAACCTGGTGATGAAGGGTTACAGAGGACTGTACTGCTGAATATCATTCACCATCTAGGGCAACAGGGATATAGTGATATTGTGTTTGGAAGAGTGCCAATCTTATTTTCAAACCAAGCTGATTCTCTCTCAGTAATTCTACGACGATGAAATGGGCTACTGCGGGGGAGGGGTGGGCCACTAACACAAAGAAGGCCTGGATCAGTCGAACCTCAAACCAGGTTTGACTGAGCATGCACACAAAGTGAGCTGGAGTACTGCCTAGAAGTAACGCGTTTCATAAAATGTTGCCGAGAACTCTCCAACAAGAACGCCATAAAATAGAGACTCAGCCGGTTTCAGGTGAGTCTAGCGTGAAAACAAAATTGTATGCGTACACCTCACATTGCAAGATTGAAAATGGGCTATCGATCGTTTTCCGATGCAAGTGAGGAGATGGTGAGGTTTCAGATTTGTGGATATTGAGTCAAAAGACCTGGAAAACATGTATAGGTGGAATAAGCTGAATTTCGAAAAAATAGTAATTTCAACCAAGGGCACCTTGGTAGAACCGATTCAGTGCCTGATGAGCGCATCGATTCATCACTGAGTCTTGAATGCTCCTAGTGAACTTTAAGACGTCCCGTGGTATCTGTGCATCATATTTGCCACCAGTCCGATTATTTCTCCGACCCATTGTGTAGTTCACAGAGAGAATTGCTCCCGCAAAGAACAGAAGGAAACTTGCAGCCCGGTCTATGAATTTCCGGCAGCCCACAGACGTGAAGAATCGTCTTATCGGAGTAGTCGGTGTGGTCTGACGATAACCACCAGACAGATCAAAGTCAGCAGAACTGATTGTAGTCGAGTTTTGAAGAACCTTGATTTCTTAGCATAAAAGGCATATAGCCAACCGACTCCCCCTTATTGAAGTGGAGTCTGATGACTGCGCTCAGTGCGATCAATTTAAGTCTGAACAAGTAAAACCCCATTACTCAGACTCCAGCATTGAAACCTGTTTGCCAATATACTTGCCCAATGCGACCATGTAGAAAGCACTGATCCAGCCCAATGTATTATGAAGTTTGGTGTAGCTGGAGGCATTGTGCAGTCAATGAAAACAATAGAGATTATCGTGAGAAATACCCATTTGCACACAAATCTCGTTTTCTTGGAAGACTCAGCTGAATCCCAACCTAATCTCTCGTTTATGATATTGCTCAACTGATTGCGCAGTGTAGAAGCAGCGTCATTTTGCTACGATATTCTCCAGGTGAACTACTCATAAGGGATCTGTAAACTCCTCGACAGCCCGCGATTGGTTTTGTTTTTCTTCGGACTCATCAGATAGGCGCATCCCCGAATTTCCGTCAGACCTACATTCTGCTTCACCTGAATGTGCTGCACACATGTTGTTTCATGTTTCAGATACCTGTTCACAGCCGTGTGCGTAGCGTTCATTCAGGAAAACTAAAATGATCGTTTTCTCCAAATCCCTCGACTGGACTTTGAAACCAAATACCAGTCACTATGCGAAACTTTGAAATGTGATGACCAACGAAGAAATGCTGCACTGCAGCGGAAGTTTTTCGTATTGTTATGGCCACTGTTTGAGAGTAAACAGTATGGTATAATTGTGTTGGTTGCTAAAACATA